TAACTATTCGCAACAAAATTTGGCTCAGTGATTTTGTGAACAATCGAACCTGAACATTAATGCGTGTCTTTGTTCACTGAATTTGCAAAGAAATTTAGAATTTAGGGATTTAGTCATAGATAATCTCTGCAACGAATGTTAATTCGCATAGGAGTTGCATCGCTTTGATAGATCATACAATTTCTATTTGATTGTACAATTTATACCGAAGAATTTGCAGGGAGAGATTTCAACGTTTTCAAGCAGCCAAGGTGAGGTTCGTGGTTTGTGAGAGTAGGAGCAAAAAGCTAAAGATTAGCTTTTCATGTATTCTTTTTTTTTGAATGAATGTAAAATTTGTATTCAATCAATTCGTTTTTACATCTAGTGTGACTTGATTTTAAGGTTTCAAAAATGCCACAGAGTTACAAAAGTGAAAAGAAAAATTTCTAGGCTAATGTGATCCTAGCCATAAAACCATGGCTTCAGCGTACTCGTGAGCTCCCATGCTTCGAATAGAGTTGATACGGTTCGTAATGTTCTTGACAATTTGATTGGTGATGGTCGTTGATGGTAACGGGTTTTCTCCAAAAAAAATTCTAGGCTAGCTTTTCATGTATTCATTGATCATCAAGGCTAAGCTTGAGTTTTAGCTTTCCAGAGCCAAAACCAAAAGCATGTGGGAGATATTCAAATAGAACCAAATCAAAATACTTATCTGATTGTTCCTGATCCTTAAGAGTTAACTAAAACGGTGACACAAATTTAGACGGCAGAAAACGATAGTGTAAAAATGCTTAAAAGATCTCATGAACTAGTTTAAAGACATTTGTAAAATCCTTAAAAAAATTTTTGAAAATTGAAACTTTTGACTTTGTTCATAGGTCGGTCTGACGTAAGCTCCTCCTCCAATCTCCACCACGTAAAGCCCCTTTTCATTAAAGTAGTAGTCACATTTCACATATGAACAAAAATTAAGAATTAAAGCGAAACCGCTCGACCACTCTAGAAGAAAACGTTAACAACTTCTCTTTCACAGATTGTGTAATTTTTCATCTTCTCCAATTTCCCAGAAATCAGAAAAAGATGTGGTTTTTTGGATCGAAAGGAGCATCTGGATTCTCGTCTCGTTCCACTGCAGAACAAGTCACTCATGGAGTTGACGGAACCGGCCTCACTGCCATAGTCACAGGTTTTTCTTCAATCAATACTTTCTTGCCTTTTCACGGCTTGGGTTTGTCTAAATATGCAGACTTTGTTGTATAATTTCCCCAATTTTGGGTCCTCTATAGATATATACAATTGTTTGAGGTTTTTTGTGATCAGGGTCTGTTTTTGATTCGGTCAAGCTTAATAAATATTGAGGTCTTCACTGTTTGTTGTTCGAAAGTTGTCTTTTTTTTTTGTCTTTCTTCACTAATTCTTGAATTGGTTTCTCTCTCTCTTTGTTGAATTCAGTGTACAACATGATTGGGACCATTTTGCCTGACAGGGGAAATAACTTCAGATATGTAAATTAGCATGTGCTTGTACTAAATACAGTTATACTCCTGATTTCTGTCCAAGGGATAAAAATTTAGAGATGTTGTATATATATATATATTGTTTTATCATATTCAAAAGGACCTGAATTAAGAACAATGGAATCATTGAATTGAACAAGCTAGTTATAGGCTCAAAACAAGAATTCAAGTTAAGACTGTACATACATATTCGAGTCTAGCATCAGTCTAACATTTTGTTTCCTGGATATGAAGTGTTGCTTTGTTATTTGGTGTATTGATTATGTAGTTCATCCAAATTTATTGCACGAAGAATTGTTCTGTATCAGGGTATTGAAAAGCTTAGGAACAAGCTTAATTTGTTATTTGGTTGATAGTACTTAAGAAAGTGGTGTTAGCCTGCATTGAGCTTTGTGGATTTATTTGGTTCTTGCTTTGTGTTCATATTTTCAGGAGCATCGAGTGGTATAGGAGTAGAGACAGCGCGTGTTCTTGCACTTCGTGGTGTGCACGTGGTTATGGCGGTGAGGAACACGGGTTCTGGTGCTAAAGTTAAGGAAGATATTGTCAATCAAGTCCCTGGAGCTAAGGTTGATGTCATGGAGTTAGATCTCAGCTCAATGGAATCTGTCAGGAAATTTGCATCTGAGTACAAATCTGCTCGTCTTCCACTCAACCTCTTGATGTAAGTCATTGAAATCTTGCAGTTCATGTGTTGCGGTTTGGGATTATCTGATGGTTAATGTTTTGAATTGCTTTAACTTCTTAAGAAACAATGCCGGGATAATGGCATGTCCTTTTATGCTCTCCAAGGACAACATTGAGCTGCAATTCGCAACCAACCATTTGGGTAAATGCATGAGATAATTAAGTTACGATTATCGCGTTGTCCTAGATTTCATGTTATCACAACTTTGGATGTTCTAATGATGGATCTTCTGAATCATCGCAAGTTAATAAGTTTGTCCTGATTGCATTTAATTCTAAATATCAGATACTGAGAGCTAAGTGACCTGTTTTCAGGTCATTTTCTGTTGACAAAACTTCTGCTAGATACAATGAAGAACACATCACGTGAAAGCAAACGAGAAGGAAGGATTGTTAATCTATCATCAGAAGCTCATCGGTTCTCATATCCGGAAGGAGTCCGCTTTGATAAAATCAACGACAAGTCAAGGTGCTATTAATGGTGACACAAAGGACAATTCTTTGATCCCTGCCTTTTATTTGTATCTAACATTCTACCGGCATTTGGTCTCCGCTGCAGTTACAGTAGTTTCCGAGCTTATGGACAATCAAAACTCTGCAATATTCTGCACGCCAACGAGCTTTCAAAGCAACTGAAGGTACCTACAAAAAGAAAGAAAAATTTATATCAAATCAAGAATCTGTGTGTTCTTTGACTATCTTGATTCAATTACAGGAAGATGGAGTCAACGTAACAGCAAATTCAGTTCATCCAGGAGCTATTATGACAAATCTCGGCCGCTACTTTAACGGCTTTTTGGCTGGTAACTTAGTTTCTCTGATTCCACTCTCATCACTCCATGCTTTATAAGATTACACACATATATAAACAAACGAACATATACACTTTGATTTGCCTTTGATCCTGTATCTTACTGGCTTGATGCAGGAGCTGTTGGTGCAGTGGCTAAATATGCGCTCAAGACTGTTCCGCAGGTATGCTTCTTCTAATTTCTAAACTGTTCACAAGGTTTCTCTGGTTTAGTTACACTCGAGGAAAGAACCGGTTCTGGTTAATGATATACTGATCTAGCTTTAGGGGTCAATATGGTTTGTCCCGTTATCATGTCTTGAGTATCGATTTTGTAGGGGGCGGCAACAACTTGCTATGTGGCATTGAACCCTCAGGTTGCAGGAGTTACAGGGGAATACTTCTTAGATAGCAACATTGCTAAACCATTACCACTTGCCAAAGCTGCAGAATTGGCCAAGAAGGTTTGGGATTTCAGCACTAAGCTTGCCGATGATTCGCAACCAGGAGAAACTAGTTCTTGAAAGTAGATTGTTCCGTTGAACTTTTTACTTTGATGGCGTTTCAACTTTCATGTTTAGATATCGATGTAATGAAAACATGGTTTCTAATAGTTCAGCTTCAACGAATATATTATGTAGCAGTTGGCCTCTAATTTTGGAGAATGAAATCAAGGACCGGAGAGTGGACGAACATAATTCAAATTGGGTTTTAAATGGGCCATAATAATGGTGAGGCCCATCAGTGTCTAAAACTAAAGCCGCCAAACCTGAAGCGGTTCTTCTTTTTGTCCCACATCGGAACCTTGGAGATGGGACACTCGTGTGTTGGGTAGTATAAAAGAAGACCAAGGTCCGTCCTTGAAAGATACTTACCTGGACGGGGTCGACTCGTGATCAAGAAGACGAGTGGCCTAGGCTAGCGACTTCCATTGCACACTAAGGAGGGGTGCTATGTCTAAGGTCTTCCCATGAGGAAGAGCCTGCGTCATTATTTGTGGCAGTGGGGGCCTGCGTTCGCGCGGCCCCTCCCAATCTCTTTAGTTGAAGGTTTTGTCTTCTGTCTGAGTTTGATGAGATGAGCGGTCTAGCTCGGTCAGGTATGTTTTGCTGATGGTCGAGTCTAGTGACTTATGTCTCTAAACCTTTTAACTAGTACCTAAACAGATAGAAGCAAATGGTGCTGAATTTGAAAGTTAAAAATCCTTTTCTTTATTATTTGCGGGATCTGAATATAAGGGCACGTTCTGATACCATGAACACAGAAGCAGAGGACCTTTGATAATGGTGAAAAGAAAAATCAGAGGTTTGAAGAAAATTTGTAAAATTAAAGATGGTAGCTTTGGTAAGAGAAGACTTGGGGAGAATTGCAGATCTAATCTTCTTCTCCACACCCACGTGAGGATTCTCTCACCATCTTCCCTTTTCATTAAAGTAATCACATTTCACATATGATGAATACTAATTATATATTAAGCATAAAACAAAACCACAAGAGAAGAAAACACAACTTCAAATCGAAATAAAAAAAAAAAGATGTGGTTTTTTGGATCGAAAGGAGAATCTGGATTCTCGTCTCGTTCCACTGCAGAACAAGTCACTCATGGAATTGATGGGTCTGGCCTCACTGCCATTGTCACAGGTTTTTTCTTCACTCACTTCTTCTCTCAGAATTTTACACGACTTGGGTTTGTCTAAAGATGTCGACTTTTCTATAGTTTTATTAGATTTTGGGTCCTCTCTGACTGTCTCTGAATTGATTGTACCTGTAGCCTGTAGGTAAAAGTTTTGGGTTTTTTATGGTCTGTCTTTAATTCGGTCACTTTTTGTCCTTCCAAACTTGTGTCTTTTTGTCAATAAGTAAACAATTTTTCTTCACTAATTCTTGTATTGGATTCTTTCTTTGTTTGGTGAATTCAATGTTAAAGCATGTTCATTGTTTGGGACCATTTTCCTCAAAGGGAAGATAACTTGCACGTACTTGTGTTTGTTTCAGCTGTAGTTTGTGTTATACTTATATCACAATTTATACGAAAATGATATGCTTGTGGAAATGGTTTCAATCTTCTTGTCATTTCAAAAGGAATCGAACAAATGAGTTACAGTTTGCACTTACAGATTCGAGTATAGCATCTATTGAGGCAATTTCTGTTCTGGATGTCAAGTGTTGCTTCGTTATTTGGTATATTGAGTATGTACTTCATCAAAAATCGTGTTTCGGTAGAGGTTTGCACGAAGAAATGTTCTGTATCGAAAAGGCTAGGAACGAGCTTAATTTGTTATTTGGTTGATAGAACTTAAGAAAGTGGTGTTAGCCTGCATTGAGCTTTGTGAGTTTGTTTGGTTCTTGCTTTGTGTTCATATTTTCAGGAGCATCGAGTGGTATAGGAGTAGAGACAGCGCGTGTTCTTGCACTTCGTGGTGTGCACGTGGTTATGGCGGTGAGGAACACAGGTTCTGGTGCTAAAGTTAAGGAAGATATTGTCAATCAAGTCCCTGGAGCTAAGGTTGATGTCATGGAGTTGGATCTCAGCTCATTGGAATCTGTCAGGAAATTTGCATCTGAGTACAAATCTGCTCGTCTTCCACTCAACCTCTTGATGTAAGCTATCAAAATACCATGGTTCATGTATAGCGGTTTGGGATTTTCTGACGGTTAAATGTTTGGAAACTGTAGCAACAATGCCGGGATTATGGCATGTCCCTTTATGCTCTCTAAGGATAACATCGAGCTACAATTCGCAACCAACCATTTGGGTAATCAAACCAACATTATGGCTCTGTTCTAAATTAGTATAACTTTAGTTAATCTCATCAGTTTTCCATGGATTTTGTGATCCAATTATATTTCAGGTCATTTTCTGTTGACGAAACTTCTGCTAGATACAATGAAGAACACATCACGTGAATGCAAACGAGAAGGAAGGATTGTTAACGTATCATCAGAAGCTCATCGATACTCATACCAAGAAGGAGTCCGCCTTGATAAGATCAACGACAAGTCAAGGTACTAAATTAATGGTATGATCCTTTCCTTTTCTTAGTATCTAACATTCTTCCCCCGCGTTTGGTCTCCACTGCAGTTACAGTAGTATACGAGCTTATGGACAATCTAAACTCTGCAATGTATTGCACGCCAAAGAGCTTGCAAAGCAACTAAAGGTAACTTC